GCAGAACTGAATGCTCTTATCAGTAATAATACTTGGGATCTTGTTCCTCGTCTTTCACGTCGAAAACCGATTGGTTGCAAGTGGGTCTACAAAATCAAGCATTGTGCTGATGGCTCCATCAAAAGAGACAAAGCCCGCCTTGTTGCTAAAGGTTTCACCCAACATGAAGGTTTTGATTATCAAGAAACATTTTCCCCAGTGGAAAAACATGTTACCATTCGAGCATTTCTATCTATTGCCTCTCATCATGGTTGACAACTACATCAGATGACGTCCACAATGTCTTCCTCCATGGGGATCTTGATGAGGAGATTTATATGGATCTTCCACGCGGTCTTCGCAATTAAGGGGAGAATTTAGTATGTCAATTGTGAAAATCTTTATATGGGTTGAAACAGGCATCTCAACAGTGGAATGCAAAGTTCACAGAAGCTCTCACTGTTATTGGATTCTGTCAATCCAAACATGATTACGCCCTATTCTCCAAACATTAGGGTGATTCTTTCCTTAGTCTTATTGTCTATGTTGATGACATTCTCATTACGGGGAACGATGAGAATGCAATCAAAGAACTGAAAAAGTACCTACATAAAACTTTCCACATCAAAGATCTAGGGGCACCAAAGTATTTCTTGGGAATCGAAATTGCTTGATCCTCATAAGGAATATCTCTCAGCCAACGAAAGTATGTATTTGAACTCATATCAGATTCAGGGCTAGCAACATGCAAACCAAGTGTCATTCCTATATAACAGAATGTCAAGCTCACCACACAGGAATACAATGAAAAGAATCAAACTTCTAAGACAAGTCCCTTATTAGAAGACAACTCTAACTATCAATGACTCGTCAGAAGACTCATATATCTGACAATAACTCGACCAGACATTAGCTACGCTGTATGAATTCTCAGCCAATTCATCAATGCCCCAAAACAATCTCACATGGATGCAATAATTAAGGTACTTAACTATCTAAAGGGTTGTCCAGGTTTAGGACTTCTCTTACCAAGAAAATGAGACTTAAGTATCACGGCATACTGTGACTTAGATTGGGGCTCATCTCCAATGACAAGAAGATCCCTCACTAGATTATGTATTAAACTTGGAGAATCTCTTATCTCCTGGAAGACAAAAAAGCAAACCACAGTGTCGCTATCATCATCAGAAGCAGAATACAAAGCCATGGCCAAAACCACTTGTGAAATCACATGGATTCTTGGTTTATTAAAGGATCTAAACATACAAGTAAAAACACCAGCAAGATTATGTTGTGACAACAAGGCAGCAAACGACATCGAGCCAATCCAATCTTCCATGAAAGAACGAAGCACATAGAGATTGACTGTCACTTTGTCAAAGACAAGATACAAGAAGGTATAATTAAAACAGAACACATCCGAACCACATATCAACCAGCATATTTCTTCACCAAACCATTATGTTAGAGACAACATTCATTTTTATTGGGCAAGCTCAAAGTTTATAACATTTATAAACCATGAGCTTGAGGGGGAGTGTTGAAATCCAGTATTAAATGAATGCACAATTAGTGGAGATAATTGATATGATCTCAATACATATAGTAATTTAAAATCATGAAATGGTGTTATTTACCTTCTATGTAATGATGCTGGATTTATTTTACATTATTTGCTTTCTTTACATGTTACATCTATACTTGTATAAATTGTGACACATTGTACATGAATACAATCAATCAGATACAAAGTATTCTTTCTCTCTATTTTCTTGCTGTCTTTTTCTCCTGGCATACTCAGCAATTAAGTTGCTTCTCCTACCTATCCAGCCTCTCCTTGGCATACTTCGGTAGCCTTACTACCCTCTCTTGCCACTCTCAATTCTAGGTTCTTATAGTTTTTTACTTCAATGACCTAATGAAAATTCCCTACTATAAATCTCAAATAAAAGAATTGACAGACGAGGCTGTGAAAGCGAGGCCTGTTCATTCTTTCAAATTTTTCTGTTTGTGTTAGGACTCATGCGAAAGGGGAGGTGGCAAACCAACCTGTGCACGTGCCAATATGTCTACCAAAAGTTCTCGACAGGTTTTACTATTATTTCGGGAAGCCAATTGAAACACAAGGTATGATCATTCAACATTGTTCAAGTTCACTTTTGATGATGACCTTTTAGATTAAATATTTCTTTGTTTATAGGCCTTAAAAAGTTTTGAACATTGAGAAATGATTGCAAGGATTTAGTTTATTTTATATCTCTTGTTTTGTGCTGTGTAAGGGAGGAAGCAAGAACTAAAAGACAAAAAGAAGGCTCATGAATTGTATATAGAAGTGAAGTCTGAGGTGGAGAAATGCCTAGCTTATTTAAAGGAGAAAAGGGAGAATGATCCTTATAGGAGTATTGTACCTCGGCTCATTTACCAAGCTACTCATGGCTTTACATCTGAAGTTCCCACATTTGAGCTTTGATTTATGATTTGTGTTGTGAGAGAGAAGAGACTCCCTAGTAGCATCATCATATCACAAATACCCACAAATTATGACATTCAGTAATTTATATTGAAGTGGAATAAGAACATTCAATTTATCATGCATTTTTTTATCTAGTAGGGGCGGGCATTCAATTTCCCGATGACACTGTCGATAATGTGAAAACTAGAAAAAAGATCATTCATGTTTTGAGCTTTTATATAAGTAATACTTGCTATAACTCATATTATAGCCTAGAAAAAAGATCATTCATGTTTTGAGCTTTTATGTAAGTAATACTTGCTATAACTCATATTATAGCCATATTCGAATTAATCACCTATGCAGTAATTTTCAAATTGCGGCATGAGGTCAAGTGAGATAACGTAAGATTGATGGGGTCACATGCCACAATTATGCAGTTGAAGGTGGTTTATGAAAGAGTTATTTAATTGTCTATTTTAATCTTTGATAGGAGGTTAAAGACAATTGATGAGAGTTATCTTGGTCCCTAACCTAGCCATTAAAATGATATATATATAACACAACACAAAGTGACATAACACAACACAAAATTCTAGAGACATGGACTAGAAGACATCTCTCAAACACTCTTTGTCTTGTGTAAGTAACTTCTTTTTTATGGCAAGCCATACTATAAAAGAATGACGGGGAATGCAAGTTCCATTCCAGACAAGGGATTTCCAAGGCACTTGCTCATAAGTAGGGGAAAGGTCCCGCCAAGCTTGTCTGGAGGAATATTGCACTTTTCTTCCTTCCTTAGTAACCCAAACGGAAGTGTCTCTGGCATAAACCATATTAGGCAAAGGAGACTGAAAGATCACCTGGGGGATAAGCCTCTCTAACTTCCTCGGGCCACACCTATTGACCGTCCCTTAACACGTCACTCAGTTTCGCTAGGTGCCCAAGACCTCTAAGGAAATTTTACATGACTAGGATTTAACTATTAGATTATTCTAATTTTAGAATAAAAGGTAACCTGAGGAAAGACATCTTGCAATATCATTTTTTTTGTGGGACGCCCTAAAGGTTTTAACGTGCCAGACAAAGGTAAATTATTAACTGTTGATTTCACAAAATACAAAATCAAAGATAACAAGTAGTTATTTGCTTTTATATTCATTTAATTGTGAAAATATAAATAGGTGACTTTCTAGCCAAATAGATGGTAATCCATACTTGTTTCCTTTACATAACCCCGAAGGAAAATTTTCCTTAATTTATATTGAAAATTTCATGATTCCAATAATAAAATTTAACGATGTTAATTTCACCATGGGACAATCTAACCAACTCATGGTACTAATATGGATATAAAATCATCATACTACTATTGTTAACCATCCAATTAGAATTAACCATAAAACTAATTATTTTTTTAACCACCTATTAAAAGGATGGTTATTGATATGATGGTGATTATTTTGAGAAGGAAAACCACAATATATTTGACAATACCTGATTAATCTAATTGGATAAATTTTGTAGAAGTTAATTTGTTTTCCCCATTGTTTATATTTGACTGCCAGTTTACTCTCATTCAGAAAGTGATAGCCAATGTTTTAAAACCTGACCCGGCTCGGCCGATTTAACTAGGACCGAGAAGCTTCAACGGGTCGGATTATATTTTTCCTATTCACCCAAAACCCTAGGATTTGGGAGGATGATCGGTTGACAATTGACAGCCAGGATGTTGGGGTTTTTGAAGAGAAAGTGAGGTGAATGCGGTGGTGGTGACGGAGTTGATTTCCAGTGAGTAAATTGACTGAAAATCAAACAAAACTGAGGGCGGCAACAATCGGCTTTTGCTGACGATTAGCAAAGCTAACAGGGGTGGCGTGATGTGAGCTAAGGTGGGTTCTGGTCGAGAGGAAGAGGGGAGTAATTTATGGATGATAGGGAGGGTTGTCGACGAGATTTGACCTGGAATGCTGACGCCGGCGTCGGTGAGATCTGGCCAAAATCGAACTTACTTCGACCAGATCTTGGGTATATTTTAAGAGGAATGGGCTCAAAGGACGATTGGGGTTACATCTGAGGTGTCGCCGCTGGCAACCAATCGCTGGCCAATTTGTATTTGGGTTGTGTTTGCTAAATTTCAAACATATAGGGACTTAAAAAATTACTAGGGGCGTATTTGCTGAATTTTAAAAGTTTTTATCAACCGGTTTGACCGGCGGTCAAACCGGTTAAACTGGTCAACCCGGGACTCGGAAACTTTATCAGGTTTCACCCCGGGTTGGGTTTTAAAACATTGGTAGTAGCTATGCCTTTACTCTTATTTTTAATAATATATACTACAATCAGTAATATAGCGAAAAAGTAACTAAATAAATAAAGTAAGAACATACAAAACAATGTGATAGACAATTTTAAGTACAAACTTTGATGAGAGTTGATATTAATTTTCTGCGAAAACCAGCTAACTTGGTAAGTGAAATTGTTGTGTAGGCAGTCTGATTACTATAGATACATACATTGCATTTTTTCAGCAAGCGTAGAAATTTAATTCCTTATTGATATATCTCCATCAAATACCTTTACCTTGTGAATCGCTTTCTTCTTTTTCTCTTGGAAATATACCTCCATTTACCTCTATCTCAACTATGTTATTTTCTTCTTTGCCTTCATTTTCCTCAACCATGTTACTAGTATTACAAGTTTGGTCAATTTGCGAGGTGATAACAATATCAATTAATTTAGATTCTCCAAAACCTTCAATTGGCACTAATAGAGTTCTTTTCTTCATTTCCTTTCCTTTACCCCATAGCACCGCGTAAAGCCCACACACGATCAATGTTGCACCTAGTATGCTGAAATACGAAACAAAATTTCTTAAATTTCACCATATATTTTTAAAGGGTCGTTATATCTTAGAAAAAATTAAATACTAATTTGATTTTACCTGCCCAAGTGTAGCTTCTCATCGAGTATTAAAGAACCAATAAAGGCTACGACCACAAGCATAAGAGGATTAAAGATGGATGCAAATAGAGGTCCCCTCATTCGCACACACCAAGATACCAAGGTCACCATTAAACCAGAAGCCACAATTCCCTGCAGCACAAATTACCCAATGAATAAATTGTTACAATGAACTTGTCACAAAGTTAAATAGGATTCAATGACACAAAAAATGGTGCAATTAAAGTGGATTATTAATTGAAACTTACGGAGTAAGCTACAGTGAATAACTTAAAATCCCAGCCCAACTTCCACTGGCTCCAGTCTTTTTCCTTGCATAGGGCAAAAAATGCAGCTTGGATTGCTCCCATCACACACATCAATGCCGTGCTGGAATATTGACACGGGTATTTTTCACTCATCTTAGCCTGCAAAAATTAAAAAAAATATATTTTAAGAAAATTAAAAGAATAATAATAATAATCTTTGCACATAATGGCCCGATGTGTTTCCTACGCTTTGCTGGGTGTCGATGTAATTTTACAGTAAGGCGAAAACATGCAGGCTTTTACGACGATCATTGGGCATCGCTACAGACTGTAATTCTTTTATATTTAATTGAAAAAGGTACCTGAATAATCAACCACAGGGCAAAGGAGAGGCAACTGGCAATGGCCAACAAGAAGCCAATAAGGTGCTTATTGGGTTCTGCATGCGGAGATGTGAAATTGGAAGCTCCATGATGAAGAAGGTTGACATTTGTTGAGAAAAGATTAATCTCAATTCCTTTGTAGAATGTGAGAAGCATCGCTCCACTTATTCCTAAAAGTGTTCCCAACACTTTTGCCATCCCAGCCTTTGTTCGTATTCCCACCCTCTCTAATCTGTCATCATCCATATCAAAATCAATTAATTAAAGTTATCAATTAAATATTTAAATATGTATCTTAATTTTTCTATTTTTTAACCTGAATGAAACGGCCAAAATGAAGGTAATTGCTGGAATGAGATTACTCATGGCTGAAACAAAAGTTGCAGATGTTAAGGCCAAACTCTCCAGGTACAAATTTTGAGTTAATGATCCCCTGCAATTCAAGTACTAGTACTATTAAATGTTAATTATAAACTAATTAAATTCGAAATTTTTGATATATTTTGATAAATATACAATACTATATATGGACCTCTAATTTTGTTTTTATTATTAAATTTCAATCGTAAATTTAGAAAATTGTTGTATGAAGCGTAGAAGAACAAGTGTCACGTGCTTCATGGCCATGCATATAAACAGAGACGGTGCATGATATACAGCTAGTTGCCTGTTTCTCTACTAACCACACGTGTCGAGAATTATATGAATAAAGCAACATTTTATGCATTAGTGCACTTCCTAAATTGGCACACTATATTTTTTTTGGAAACATGCATGCATCAACTTACCCAAATAACCCACAAAGAAATGCTTGAAACAGTATCTTCCAGTTCAGTTTTGGTCTGCTTTTCCTGCAAATAAATAAAATAAAATAACTAATAAAAGAATCATATTACATTCGAAATTATCGTATAAAACCTTTACTCCTCTTTTAATTTTTTTTATTTTTAATAAAATTTTATAGTAGTAGTCTGGTAAGTTATCTTCTCGTGATTTCAATAATATTATTTTCTTTTTGGTAAAAACTTTTGTTGTCTCTTGAAAGTTCCAAACAGAAATGGAGGACAAAGTGAGGAAACTTCCAAGAGCAGTAGAGCACTAGAAGATACCACTGTGACGACAACACTGACCCAGAAAAAAGACAGTAAAAATGAAAGACAAAAGAATGTTTAGAGAATATATAAGAATTTTAACTGGCATTTCTGATATCTGAAATAAGAATTAAAGAAAGAATATGTGAAAAGGAAAAGAGCAAACCTTTCAAGAAAGAAAGCAAGAGGGATCATGAAAGCCGTGGCGAAAATCAGTCGATAAGCAGCAATAATACTCAAACTAATTCCTTCATTAGCCGCTAATTTGTATAAAATATTTACACCAGCAAATACAATCTGAACCACAACCATCATCAAAGCCGGCTTTAACCCTTGAAGGCAATTACAAAACTGACCCATAATTCGAATCTGTCTTTGTTTCTTATGGCGTATAATAAAATGAAAAGGAGAATGGATGAATGAAATAGCAGCGAGAGTGTGTTAGTTTTTATGGTAAGAGGTAGGGCTTGCCTTTTGTTAATAACGTCATTTCATACGCCTCCTCCGGCGACAGCAGAGACGCAGGAAGGCGCACGTGTTGAGTTGGGATCGCCACGTGCGAATGAAAGAGGCGTCTGCCACCGCGCCGCCATGCATTAATAATTTTGTTGACTTTTTATCGCCCTAGCAAAGTCCAGAGAGTCAAGACTATGTGTTGACTCATGCATGCTAGCAATTCTCATGCTTTTACATTCTGAATTTCCGTACATTTTCTTACACTTACAAAGATATAAAATGATTCGATAAAAAATAAATATAATAAATTGAATTTTTTATTTAATTTTTCTATTTATTTTTTGTTATCTTATTTTATATATAAGATTTTTCCGTAAATATAATATTATTATTCTATCATAAATCAATAATCATAATTTTGTGTAGAAATCTACCTCAGAGTTTTTTTATAATTAGATTGTTTTACCTTTATCATATAAATATGTTTTCTTAATTTCATGGGTAATTTTTAAAAAATCTAAATTACAAAGTACTCATGAATTTAGTGAATTTGTTAGTCACATAATTCACGTAAACCTTGAATATAATAAATTGTAAGTTGGGACAGCAATTGATTGTGAAAATTAATTTTAAATTATAAATCATTAACACATCATTCTATAATCTAGAGTCCAGCTTTATAATTGCACTGTCACTGTTAAATAAAGGAAATAAAATTAATGGTGGAGTCTTAAAATCTGTTTTGACAACTTAAAAAAGGATTAAAATCAAAATTTTGCTTGTTTACTAAGCAAAGTCGTGTTAATGGTAAGGATATTGATGCATCCGTGCATAACAACATTATTATGAAAACATGTTTGAAATATTTATTCTAACTGTGTGCCAAACAGCTACAAAACACGTCATTATAAGAAAATGGCGAAGTTTAAGTTCAAAAGCGGTATCATTAAAATCAATTCATTATGGAATCTCTAACCCTGCGTTATTTTGGTGTAAAAAACACCAAAATAACGCAAATTTCAACTCCAACCCAGCGCCATTTGCTACGCCAAATTAGTTCTGCTACAGTATTACGCCAAATTTGGTATAACACTGTAGTTTCACACCAAATTGGTGTAGCACTGTTTATATAATAAAAAAAATATTTTTTTAAGTTTTGTAATTTGTATTTAAGTTAATTTAATTATTATTTATATTAATATTTATAATAATAAATTCATAATAATGATATAATTCAAAAAAATGATGAAAAATTAAAAACAAAACTTTATTCAATACAAATATTAAACTATAATAACTCAAAATAAAAATTAACACTAATTTAAAAACATTAAAATTAAAAGAAAATACAACATAAACTAAAATAACAATTTAGTATTCCGGTAGATTAGTTTCGGATCCTGTAAGATCATCAAAATATTGAAAAGAACTAGAGTTATTTTGAGATCCTTGACCTTGTTGTTGAGCTTTTTTTTTTTTTTGCATAATTCTTGTTTATTTGATTAAATAAATGCCTAATTTTATTAAATTAGTATAATTTTCAAAGTAATTATTATTTAATAAAAATATCATTCCCAATATTTAATTAATAAATATATAAATAATGAGTGAAATAGATTAATAGTTGGTTATTACAATAAAAGAAAAAGAAAAAGAATATTTCTTTTAGTGTAATATTTGGTGCAATGGATTGGATATGCTATAGTGTTTTACACCAAAAATCACACCAATTTGGTGTAAAACTTGCACCAATTTGGTGCAATGGGTTGGAGATGGTCTTAGCATGTGTTTTTAATGCATGTTGCTTTTTGCATATACATACATATATATATATATATAGGGTAAGTAAACTTTATAAACAAAAAAAATGAGGTTACAAAATAACTCAAATGCCCGGTAGGCCAAAAACAAACAAAAACGACAAAGGCACAAATGCCCCTTTCTCAAGAGCACGTAGGCTCAAAGAAAAAAGGGCACAGACGCCTACACAGGAGCACGTAGGATCGGAAACAAAAGCACAAAAAGAGGCACAAATGCCCAAAGAGAGCATGCAGACTCTACAATAAAGAAAAGGAACAAGAAGCTAGGATCTCCATCCTTTTTTCTTACTCTTCTTACCCTTGGGTGCCGATAGATCCGGTGGACGAGAGGATTGGGATTGAAGCATAGGCCACTCCATGTCAAAGTTGAGGTCTACCTCGACGTCTTCGAAGGGGATAGCAGGAACCATGGCTAACAACCCTTCATGGTTGTCAACAAAAGACTCGTCACTCAATTGGTCTGTCGCTGCCCTTTTAAAGGCTTTGTGGGCCAAAAGATCACGAGCCTCGATAAACGGGTCTCCACTTAGGGGGACATCCTCTTGGATAGGGAGGGTGTTGCTCACGAGGGGAATCTTTGATGCCTCGAAGGTCTCAATAATGGGTCACCACCTGGGATGGCATCCAGCTGATTAAGGGATTGGGTGCTCATGGGGTGGATCTTTGAGGCCCCAAGAGGTCTCGATATCGAGTCACCACTTTGGAGGTCACCCTTCCGATCAGGGGGGTTGGTGCTCACAGGGGGAATCTTTGAGGCCCCGGGAGGTCTTTGATGAGGGACACTCTTAGAGGCTTCCTCAAGGCCCTGAAAAGGTGTCAGTGCCTTTTTTGGCGAGTGGCAAACATGGCCAAACACGCAACACTTTGGACACTGCTTCAGCTTCCATTCATAAGCAACTTCAACTTCATCTACGATGCCCAACAAACTAACTATAAACCGATGCAGTAAAGGTTTGTCAACATTAAGCTCCACACACACTTGGGTGTGCACGTAAAATATTAGTCAACCCTAAAAGTCCAGCCGTACGGATCCACTCCATTGAACATTGATAACTCAAGTTTCTCACTCCTCTCATCCTTTGAATTTTCTACTTCCTTGGTCCGATCAACCACGCCGCTATCGTCGCTGTTTGAGTGCTCAGCGTGGGTTGTTTTTCCATGATCGCAACTCTTACTAGCATCCTTTTCCTCCTTCAACCTCATCCATTCTTGAAGCTCAAGGAGGTAGCCCTTGATGCTTCCCAATTCTTCCTTCACATTCCTCATTTCCTTCTCCACTTTCCTAATCTCCTTCTCCAATCCATTGACTCTCTACTCTATTTTTGATTTAACCATCACCCAAACGAGGCCTTGATACCACTTTGATGGAACACCCTGAAGAAATCAAACAAATCCATCAATAAGACAGTCCAAAAACACAAGATATAGCCACTATAAATCTGGAATTAATCAATAGTATATTCAATATTTGGAAATGGCTTGTCAGAGAAAAGTAATAATAGCAACACTTAATGAGTAGATAATTCCTAGTAGTTCAAGGAGTTGAGGACCTCCCTAAATGACCCTTCATAATCTGCTTACCCTTTTTTAACTCACCTCCCTTTTCAAAACCTTTGTAAATACTTCCTGCTTCTTCAAAAACCTAAAAAGTTCCTTCCAAATTTCAAATCCCTCCCATTCTATTCCTAACTTTAGTTAATACAAGCCCGAAACGAAATTTCTGATTTTTTCTTATCGTTCTCTTTGAATCCATTCTCAATAGCAATTTTCTCTTACTCAATTAATACCCTTTTGATCAAAATCCTAGAACCTGACTTTGGTCCTTCTCAAAATCTTCATCAATCGTTGTATAAAGAAACCTTATATGACCATTTTTTGGTTTCTTTATCTTCAAATTGAGATGACTAATTTTGAGTATAGTCTCTTCTACTTCAAAAACCCTTGATCGGTCTTCTTCATCAATGGAAGATATTGAAACCCTAGATGATAATCATGATAGTTATCAATCTTTGATTCATTTTGGGCCTCAACCTTTGAGTATCGATGGGTCTTCAGAAGCAATGTGTCCCTAAGAAAATCTATTGGACTATGATGTTGAAGAAGAAGATAATGATGAAGAAATTTACAGTGATTTTTTCTTACCGTACTCGAACTCACAGTCAGAGAAGTTGTGTCATATAAAGTTGACCTAATGAAGCACTCGTATTCTAAAAGAAGAATAATAACTTATAATCCAAAAAGACTTCATCTCTATTATCAAGGTTTAAGCATCCTCAAATTAACAACAAACGTTACATAAATCCTTCGAACCTCCTCTATGCTTTCCACTTTTCTCAAATACCTTGTACACATCGTTTTGTAATGAAAAAAACTCAAATAAATGGGGCAAATTGGTCTTTGTACAGTTAAAAAATTAAATAAAATCTTTTTAAGAGTAAACGACATGTTCCCACCTAAGTTTTGGAGAATCTGCAAGTTCCCACCCTTGGTTTCATAAATTCCAGATTCTCACCCTTAAATTAACAATGTTAGGGCTTAACATAGTATAAAATGTGTTATTACCAAACTTCCATTTAACTTGTACTTTTGATTGTTGTGGCTAAATATCATAAACCTCCCTTGAAGATGAAAACTTATCCATCACACCCCTACGAGCTGGGCAAACCCGAGTCACCAAAATCGACACCATAGATAGGCCAAAGCCATGACAGCAACTGCGCGAAGGAGACTAGGAGCGGCACCCCTTACCCTCGCTTGACCAATGCCCACCAGGGCGACCAGATTACACAATTTCCGTGACTTTTCCTCTCATTCCCTGTCGCTCTTAGGCCATTTTCGGTTGATTCCAACATCGCCAAGCTCCCTCATCACCACCATTAGAATCCCCATGCCACAATCAACAAAACCCCTCACACTCCCACCTCGATGCACCCACAAATTGCCATCCAATAGCCCTTGTAATCTTGCACGATTCTCCAAGTTTACGGCCATATTCCCACTGGTTTTGACACTGTAAATACTCCCCTTCACAACCATTCGAACCCACATCCATTGTTTTAAAATCCGGACCGTTCGTTGACCCAGTCA